GTCCCCAGGCTGCCTGGCCTCACCCCACCCCATTGCTCTGGCCTTGCCCCCATTGGGTCAGAGCCCAGTCCCGGGTGGTTCCGGGGTGCACCCACAGCCATCCCTGTCCCGGGAGTGTCTCAGCCCTGCCCGTGGGTCTGTGGGGCCCGTGCAGTGCCCCCTGACACTCCCTGTCCATGGGAAGGGCACTCATGGGGCTGAGCTCACCCCACAGCAGCACACACAGGCCAGGCTGACACAGCAGCTCTGCCAGCCCCGGYTCTGGGTGTTCCTGTGGGCAGAGGGAGGCTCTGGGCAGCTTCACTGACACCTCAGCCGTGGAAAACGGGACGGGGTTTGTGYCTGTTGGCAGCCAGAGCAGCCAGCAGTGACTCAACACCTGCAGAAAGGTGCAGAGTGGGGATCTGCCCCTGGAAATCTGAGCTGGGAGCACCAAGGGGTCCCACTGACACCAATCAACTGTCTGGATATCAATTTTAATGGAAAATCCCTTTTCATTCCATTCCATGCAGTTTGTTCTGCCCACCCCAAATCCAACACCATTGCTAAAAAGGCACCACTGCATTTCAAAACATCAAACGTTTTATTAAAAAAATAATTTACTGCATCTTATGTACAAACCACACGAATGTTCACTTGTAGAATACTGACACCTCATCTGCTGGAGGCAAGAGGAGCAAGTTTTGCAGGTGTGCACCTGGCTCTAACTCCAGGGAAGGAGGTTTGGATCTCCCACTAAACCAGCTCCTCTCAGGATTCACTTTGCACATCAACAGAAAGCCCAAATGAAGTGCAGTATGTTGAAGTGCTCTTAGTCCTGTTGTAYTTCATGGAATTATGGAGGAAAGACAGAATCTAAGGAAAAGAGGGGTGAGTCTGCACAGCCAGTGGGATTTAACACTGGCATTTCCCCTGAAGGTATTTGGTGACTTTTTCTAAGATTTCAAGCACGGAAATCATTCCTGGAGCTAACTCCACAATGTTTGCCCTCGGTCAGTGATCCCACTGCAGCCACTGGACACCACAGAATGGAGCTGAGGACAAACCCTCATGCTTGGAGTTCACAGCAAAATGAGSAAAAACTGAGAGCAGAGCCCTCACCCACACACACTCCCTGCACTGGAGACTGTAAAATCTGCTGAGCCACAGCTGCTTCGGCCCCAGTGAAACTCAGAGTTCCCACAGAGTCTGGAGCATTTCTGTCCCAAATTCCTGCCCCTGGGGCTCAGCAGGGCAGGGGCAGCCACGGGGCCTGTGGCCAGCCCGTCACCTCAAACAGCATCTCCAGCAGCAGCTCCCGCATGTCCGTGTTCCCGATGACGGGCCGGAAGARCAGATCCGTGATGAAGGAGGCAGGGATGGATTTTAGGGAGCAGGTGAGCTGTAAAATCCGGGAAAAGCGGSCCTGGTCCTGGGGGTGCAGCTCCTGAAGGGCTCGCTGGGCTTCCCCCTGCAGGCTCTTGATGTAGAGTGGAGCTCTCAGTCCAGGGATGTCTGTGAGGGAGAGGAGGGAGAGAGGGAGGTGAGGAAGGATGGAAAACAGCTCCAGGTCACTCCCCTTCCCACCCTTCCCCTTTTCTCACACGCCTGGGTGRCAAGGTGGGGATCAGACAYRGGGTGGGCTCGATGGTTTTGGAGCWCTTTTGCAGCCYCMMTKATTSTGGGATGCTGTGACAGTGCCCAGCTGCCAGAGAGRGCCTGGCACTCACCTGGGTCGAAGAGAACAGCYCCCCTCAGGTAGGTGTAYTCRCTGGGGCTCAGCTCCATCTTCCAGAAGGTGYTGAGGCACCACTGCAGCTGCTGCACTGCAGCCAAGGTGGGCTGTGTCCCCTCGGGCTCCTGCCCTTGGCTCTGGCCGCTCAGGAGGATTTTCTTGAGCATGCTGGGGGCCGGGGCCTCCATCACCTCGACGGTCACCATCTCCTGCGCCAGCCCCAGCAGGAACAGGGGCACCCAGCAGCTGTCCAGCAGCAGCAGCTGATCCTCCCGMGGCAGCAGGTGGAAAGCAGCCACGTTCCTCACGAAGCTGATGGTTTTGAGCAGCACATCAGAGGCGGCCTGGCAGGTGAGGTGTGGCGTACGCAGGCACACGGTGCGGTGCTGCAGGCACAGGCAGCGCTGCCGGGCCCCGCCGGGCCGCAGGTTCTGGCTCAGGAGGGTGTACAGGATGGCAGGGTGCTTGTCCTTGCTGTGGCACTGGCACTGCTCACACTCYGTATCCACGCTGCTGCTCATGGCCGAGCCAGATCCTCGCTGAAATCCTCCAGAAATTCAGCTGGCTGGAGAGACAGAGASGTRAAATCCCTTCCAAAATCTCCTCACRGGCTGSTTYGTGCCCGTCCTCCAGCCCGTGGCTGCTCCAGGCAGCTCTTATAAGGCCGGCTCAGTGAACAGCCCTGCACAGCCTTGACCGGCCTGATTAAGCAGCCCTCATTAAAGCACCCAACCAACCCCGCTGTCCCCGGGCTGATTGGCCAAACGAGCCTCAACGGCCGTTTTCTCAATGAACCGGCGGCGGGAGGAGTGSAGGCCTTATCAGGATTACCCAAACAGGATAAACAGAGTCATTAGCCCGGCTGTACCATGGCACCGGGGCCGCAGCGGGCAGGTGTCGCTGCCAGGGTTCACAGACAAGCACGGGGAGCTCGTCTGGGCCCGGCGTTCAACGGCCCCGGCCTTGGCAGAGCAACCTGGAAGTGGAGTTATCAGCAATGTTTGCCTGGCCTTGCTCGGGACATCTGAGGATGGCTGAGGAACAGAAACCTGGGCAACCGACGGGCTGGGATGGGCCAGGGGTGTCTCAGAGGAAATGCACGGCTGGGGAGGGGAAAATGCTC